GGTTCTCGGATCGAACAGATCCTTGTGTGGCCTTTGTTGAAGAGTTTGGCATTGCTTTCTGTCAAGTGAGCACAAGCTCGAGTTCGAGTTCAAGTATCTCGTGTGTGCTTGAGGAAGTGATGGAAAGCTATGAAATGTTTCATAGAGCCGTGCAAGACCGGCTGAGCAAGGATTCGTAGCTCTCTGAGAAACCAGAGTACGGTCATGAGTTGCTATTGAAGTGACTATTGACTGGCTACTAAACTCTGAAGTTGAGAAGCGCACTTCAGACTTTTATAACGGGACTGCCCTTGGGCTCAGTTTTGGAGCCAAGGGAGCATCTCACTTGGTTAACCTACACATAACGACGCGCCAATCCAGGTATGGCTCACGTCATGCAGCCTCAGATACACGGGTGGCTTCTCATCCAGACTGTGAGGGTGGGTGGTTGAGGCTCCGACTTTGAGGACCTGGCCAGTAGACGGTTATCTTTGGGGGTCGGTCTGCACGATTGTAACTGTATTATCCGACACGGGGAAATGGAGGCCAGCATTAAATATAGTACAATTGATCAGGGGTTAAATCCGTATGGTTGCTGTTGTTGTGATGCAGTTTCAAGGCCTGCATCTGTCCAGTTGCGGAATATTGGCGCAATCATTTGAGCACAGGGAGGTTTTCTCAGAGCAGTTGATCATTTGCTCAGTTTCGTCTTCTCTCTGGCTCATAAAGCAGCAGCAGTACTCCGTAGTAGTGGCTGGATAAATGGTGGACTGCTACTCCTTGCAGTGAGGTGCCACATAAAAAGAAAACGACGGCGTTTCCTCACCTGCTGTGTGTAGTAAAACAGGCGAGAGCCGACCTGCCGGGTTCAAGGTTACGTCGACTGCCCTAACTCTGAGGTGTGAACCTGGTATGACAACTGTTAGACAGGGGTGGCTGGGCCTGAGACTTGGAGTTTGGAGATAGCGGGGGAAATGGGGAGCTGGGGGTTTGTGTGAGGCACATCCATCCCCATCCCAACAGATCCGAATAGCTCGTGCGACAACGCAAACTTGGAGAAGACGCATGCAAGTGTAGTGTGACTGGACATACTTTTCCGATTGGGTCTTTCGAAAAGAGGATATTTGTGGAAGATGGGTGTTTAGGCCAATTGGTCATTCTGTACAAGGTGTGGTGCTGATCAGCAAGGGGGAATCAATGGCTTCGAGAAGGTCTTGAACCAGTCAACCACCACCACCACCACCACCACCACACTCGTGTGTCTGAATTTTCGTACATACAACTCACTGCTATTGCATGGCACCCTCATATTGTAAATGCAAATGCAATTTCCAGAATGATGGAGGACTCAGGATCTGATCCTAGAGGGCCACAGGAACCGGCCACAGGAACCGGCCACAGGCACGGTCTGACACCGAGCGATGCCATAGCCAATCCCAGAGGCACACTGTTGCGATCTTGTGAGTGTCGCAGGGATCGTCGCACAGAGAAGGCTTCCAGAAGGCGACGCGTAACTTAACAGGAAAACTTCTAGAAGGCCGCGAATGAGGATGATCAGCGCTTGCGACAGTCATGCTTACATGCGGACAAGGGTCCCCTACCAAGCTGAATAGTTACTCACCTTCACCTGACCCTCGAGTCTACCACCTCCGGTTCTGAAGTCCCCATGGAGATAACGCAACAGACCTGTTTACGGCCGCAGTGAGTGCGCACTGATCAGTTTGGCGGCGTCTAGTTATGTTATGCGCAAGGACATTTGCCCCTCGATGACTCTACCATCAAAACATTGGCACTTTGGCAGGGCGATGCCGGGCGCTTATCACATTGACGGCTTGCAGTGATTCCCAGCCTTGGGCACGCGTACAGTGTCTGTTTATCGTTGCACAGACTGCTTGTTGCATACGTTGGTCGCTGTTTTATGCTATCAGCCAAGACGTGATGCGATTGATGACGCAGTGAGTGAGTGTGCGTGTTACATTCTAGAATGTATCGAAGAAGCCTTGCCGTGTGCCACAGCATCCCTCCATCCACCACACCAACTTCCTGGCCTCGTTTCTCTGCGACTGTAAGAGCCTCCAATATGCCTTGTCACACTTCAGAGAGCACAGAAAAAGCCCTGTGATCGCCAATCAGGAACCAATGACGGAATTGAGATGTGTCAAGCAAATTATGCGCCTGTGACAATATCTCTCCGAGGCTACAATCTTTGGGGCCGCATAAGCTGCAGCCAGCAGTTCAATTGCATACAGCTATCATCTTTCTTTACGTACTAGAACGCCGTGATGGCAACTCTGACCTATTGAGTTCTATGCAGATAAGAACTCAACCCCATGTTTCAGCTCCATATGCGGTAGTAAGCCACTCAGCACCTCTACGTGACATCCTTCTTATCTCCAACTCGGAGACTTTGCGTCCCAGCCTCCAACAAGTGGCTAACGTCCCGGACGGAGTTGTGTGCGAATACTTGACAGGCCCGGTCTGTGTGTGTGTGGCACCTGACAATCTGCACCATTGAGGTTATCGTGGCTTGGGAACGTCGCCCGGGTCAAGTTGATGTCAAGGCATGATTGCGCGTCACCAAATGCATACCCTCAAGTTGTGATTCCAAACTTTGTAATCTTTTTTGACAGAACTACACAAATACTTTGCCGTGATTCCACCTACTGTGCGTTGTTTGTATGGGAACAACTGACCATGCAGCTCTATCAAGCCCAGTGCGGGCTACTAATGCGTTTTGACTCAATCCCACCTTGATAAGCACAATAACATAAACCACTAGAACTCTGTAATGGGATGATAACAGAAGAAATCAATGACTGGCTGCCTTACAGCTGGACCACGACCAGTTCATGCAACGGCGCGATCTTCTCTCGCACTCTAGACGAGGGACAACAGTTGTCCAGATGCGGCAGAATTGCTCAACCCAACACTATACTTATGAGCAATGCGTCCACGAGGCTCTGTGGCTTCTTTTGAAGTTGATCACCCGATAAATCCTCGTAGACGTCGATTGGAAGGCCGATCTGCGACTGGAGAAAGGCCACAGACGAAGATATATCGATGGCGAGTTTCAAAATGGAGTAAATCTGGTGAGGATAGTTTAGCTACATTTCTTTCATACGCATAATTGATTGGAGTTCACGAATCGTTGTCAAGATGCGTCTCTTGGTTTCGAGTGAACACTTCCATCCAACAACAGGAGATGAGCCGATAGGCTCATAACAATTATTCGATCCAATATATGGCAGAGCAATATCATGATATAATTCAGAAGAATCACATGTGCTGGACTGGGCCTTGAGTGAACGAATGACACAACACCCAAGATACTTCGCAGTGGTTGTGAAACCCTCCCATTCCCCCTTGCACAGCGTTTGCACAGCCTCTTTTGACTAAGGATGGCCAGTCCTTTTGACACATGTTTAAAAGCTATCTAAAGCCAATATACAGCATGAACAAAGCCTCTCAAATGTGAAAAAAGATAGGGGCATTGTACATCACCTTTCTTGGCCCTTTGACCCCTTTGATGATAGACCTAGACTGGGCTGCAGAATACTAATAGCTGGTACCGCCAACGATAGAGCTACTACTGTCATCTATTCTTTTTGAAACACGATATCTTAGGGATTTAGTGAGACGCGAGACTTTGCTGATCTTGGGTTTCCGAGCCAATATATCAAACCTATGATACCCCTGAAAAGATTGTCTTAGTTGTGGCGAAGAGTCAGTTTCTCATTGCACAATCACACAGATCTTGAGGCACACTTATATTAAATGTTGTATAGAGTTATTGGGATCCATATAAGCCATGTAACTGAATCTCTAGGAGTATTGGGTAAGATATTTCAAGGGCGTGGTTTGATCATACAATGCACACAAATTGAGCACCTTCAAACAACACATCGACAGCCGTGACTGCAGTATGATAACTGCTCGATTTCATTCTCTTGTAAGTTGTAAGCTAAATCTATCTATGGAATGTTTAGGAAAACCCGAAACGAGCTTCAATAGGCTCTTTCATGATAATGACTTCCGTTTTGATTCTTGTTTTTCTGTTTTCTTTGCAAATCTTTACATTTTATGCTATGCTTTAAGCCACCTTAAACTCGGCATCTCTAAGTAGCTGATTTCAATAAAGAAAAGAGCTATGATCTTCATCACATTTCAGCCAAGCATGGTGCTAGCAAAATTTCCTGTTACAGAAAGACTATACTTTGCCAGGTATGGACTGTTGCTCTGGCTAGAACCCTTACAGAGTTCGACAAGCTTAAATCAGGGGTTCGAAGCCATCAGACTGAGGTAGGCATGTTTTTGTTGGCTGTTATGTATTTCAGCGGGTTGTCACCATGGACTCTACAACATAGATTTTCACGAGGGCTGATAGCTCCACAGACTTCCTTTGTGACTGGAAAGTGCTCAAGGAGGTTATACTTTAGCTTCCTAGGCCCTTTTCAAGATGATTTAAAATGATTCGAAGTACAACGGCGCCAAACCAGGGTGAACTCTTCAGGCCTTGCTACCGAGACCCAATACATATGCAGATAAATCAAACAAGAATTTCTTCCATCTTGAGGTATATTTCTAAAGGGGAAACGAGTATCATATCACTTTTCAGTTGCCTGTAATATTCTTAGTACTGACTTAGCCAATCAGACTTTTCAATCCACATATCAAAAGTTCATGGGTTTTCTTTAAGGCCATCTATATCATCAAGCAAATACTCTAACATGGCTTACAAATCTCAAAAAGTTATTTACACAATAAGCAGAAGGGGCTGTAAGTAAATGAACAGTATTTTGATAAAACACACGAGTTTGATAACCCTTTCCTTGTTTCCCATTCGTAGTTTCTCTATATAAGTCCCTTAGTTCATACAATATCGCCCGTTATACTCAAACAAATACCCGTGTTCTCAAATAAAAATACGCCTATACTGTTTTAAGCTCTTGAATTAGCTTCTATATTTATAACACCATCATAGTGCGTCTGTCGGAAAAGGATAGAGAGTCTCTGTATGCCTCTCAGATTTGCGGATGATCTGGATGTGCCGTCCGCATATGCCGATCGAAGTTGTCTTTCCGTGAGTACACATGGCCTGACATGGCCTTGCGGCATCCTTCTACCTTGCATTGGTAGCCCTCGCCTTTGCGATGTGTGCGCGTGTGCCTGATCAGATCTTTCTGAGTGGCAAAAGACTTGTCGCATCCCGAGGCGAGACATGAGAAGTATTTCATGTGGTACTTTTGGTGTTTTCTTTGAGTTGTTAGTTGTAGGCGTTGAAGTTGAGACTTGGATAAACTTACGCGAGGTCAGAGGGACGTCGGAATGTCTTGCCGCAGTGGCACAGATTTGGCTCACTGCCATCGGCCGAGTTCATCCAGCCGTAGGAGTCATCTTGTAAGTTGGGAGGACTTGAAGTGGCCACCGAGGAAGAAGATGGTGGTGCGCCACTGTGTTCCTGAGACTGCCACATGTGCTGATGGTCCTCTGATTGCTGGGACTCATGGTAGTCCCCAGATCTGTAGGAGTGGTTGCAGTTTGAGGCTGACTTGCTGGCATAGTAGTTACCAAAGGCATGGTAGCGAGGATCAGATGTCGTTGGCTCGTTGTAGTAGCTTGAGGAGGACGAGCCAGCCCATCCGTGGTGGTAGCGGGAGTCGGAGTCAGAGTCAGAGTGGCGAAGCTGATCCGCAGACAGTTGGCTGTGGTTGCGACTGTAAAATGCCATTTCGGAGAATAAGAATTGCTTGTGGATGGTAGTAGTGCTGTGTCGATCTGTTGTTCGGTATCCATAAGCGGGTAGACAAAGGCAATTAAATTCGCCTTCAATCCGTGTATGATCGGGTAGCCAGGTAGCTATGTAGCCCTGACTAACATAGATTGGGCAGGATTCAACATATCGTCCTGCGGTCAATCGTCCATCGAGTGTGTAAGCCTTTCGCAGGGCTTTGGCTGCTATGGCTGCCAGCATAATGAGCCGGTCTGCAGGGCAGCCGAGTGTAGGTAGGTACATACGCAGGGCCAACGCAGAAGTAGCAGCGGCGGTAGCATCAAGAGAAGCATCGGGACCCAGCGGGGCCTAGTGGACGGCCCGCTAGCTGATCTGCTTATGATAAACGAGAGATCCTGTAGGGCAACAGGCCAACATGAGGCTTTTGAGAGGCCCACGTCAGAGGGGGTCTGAAGTTGGGAGGGGCGGGCTAAGCTGCAAGTGATGCCCAACACAATACGACACGTCGACCACCAGAACCAATTGCGGCGCAACGCTCCAGAACCCAACCGTCACCTGCGGCCAATGATAAAAGGTAAGCCTCGCTTCTTTTGGAATTCGATACAGCAGCCCGCTTGCATCGACACCGAGTTTCAGCTTAGGCAGGATTGGTCTCATGAGCACAATTCACTGGGCATCGACAGTGACAAGTGTAGGTTGGAAGGTGCCCTATATGCATCTATCGTAGCCTGGCATCATCATCATAATCATGGTCATCATAACAGAACAGGTCAGGTCCACGTGGACTTGTTTTGTTACTCGGTAGCATTGGGTGCCAGTTCCCAACGTACAACGGTCAAACTCTCCAAGGATTCGGCAGGACGAGACTGTTGATATCGGGCATTACAAAACCACGAGACAGTCACATAGTATCCAACAGTGCATTATAGGCTAAAGTGATGTGTTATCCGTCGATCATATCTGAACGATCCTTATTAGTGACGTATGTTTCGGCATATGATACTCGGCAATTATGACAACGCTAAATCGTCAATATGGAGATGAAACCCCTGGAATAACAAGCAGTTGACAATGATAGTATACAGGAATGACGCAGTTGTCATCGTCCTGAGACGGACACGACCAAGCCAATATCCTCTCTTCTACCAACTACAGACTCTAAAAGAACTCGGGATGAACAAATTTCAAACGAAATCTACGCAATATAACCTCTCTAGATGACGAAACATAGTGTTGATGTCAACAATGCTTTTACGATAGAGTCGGTTGGTCGACTAAGGACCGTAGATAGCAATGGATTCAAGATACTTGCCAAGCATATTCATCGATCGAAACTCGACTCAATAATTCACTTCCAACCGCAGTCGAGACAGCAGTCTAATCATCCTGTTCACGCTATTCAAATCGACAATCAGTATGGAAGAGTGGAAGCCGTTAGCGTCGAACTAGCGAGCTATAGCAGGATATTATTCTCGGTTCGGATTTATGCAAGCAAGGGACGTCCCGATGTCAAAATTGTCCCAGGCCCAGTTTGCTTGTCCATGTCCAGCTAAGGGCCCTGGTCTAGGTCTGTTGCATTATTTCATTCGTAGCTGGAGCTTTATTTAGGGTCGTTCACTGTTGATTCCTCCTGTGGTCCTATTTCCGTTTACGCGTCCCCCTTGATGACTTGGAGGTTAAATTACCGCGACTTTGACCACGCGGAAAGGTTCGACTGGCTCTACCGTGATCAGATGTTCTGGGGCAGTGCAGGCTTGGCCGTGGGTCAAGCTGATAGGCCAACGGCGTACTCTGTACTCTGTAAGCACCCTGTCTTCCTGGATCGAAAGTAGACTGTTATGAGATAACTTGGGGATCCGAAGGGGAAACATGATGGGTTGCATCACGTAATGGAGGTTATACAATGCTTTAGTATACAGATAATAATAATGTTGTGCAACGACCACCTTGGAGTTGAGCTCACAGTATTGGAAAATACATGCTCCGCACAGTGATAGCACGGGATGACGTTGCCGTTGCCAAGCGTCTTGGGCGTCTTGGGGTCTTGGATTGTCCCTGGAGAGAGCACTGAGCGCACTACGTAAGGTACCGGCTTTGGCGGCGGGCAGGGCAGTTGTACAACCCCCACCGGAACGTCTATCTCTTTCATCCTCCATCCCTCTCCTCTCACTCTTTTCAAGGCGAGGGCTTTGCAAAGCTCTAGAACATTTCACCACCGGAACATTGACAATCGCTAGTTATCGCTGTCGTCATAGACTTCGGCGACGCCAACTTACAACATGGCGGCATTCCTGCGCGGCAAGCAGACGGGCATGCAGAATGACCTGTCAGCGAGCATCAGACCCGAACTCTTCATGCCCGACGATCAGGCTCGCTATGGCATCAACTCTCAAATTAGGTATCGCTCCGTCTCGCCCAACATGTATCATGTATGCATGCCCCAAAATGACCCAGCTGACCATCCATTCTTTGTCGCAGCTGCTACGCTTACGACCCAGTCCAGTCCCTCCTAGCTATCGGAACTGGTGAAAGCAAGTTTGGCCCCGGTAAAGTCTACATCTTCGGTCAGCGACGTGTACACAAGATCCTCGAGCCTCCCCGACGCACATCCTTCCAGATCGTACAATTCTCCGCCAACCGACTTGTTACCGTCGACGCGAAGAACGAGTTGGGAATATGGGACCTCGACACCGGCGAGCGCGTCGCCGCTCTGGTCGTTGCTGGCCAGGTCGTCTCTTTGGTGACGGATCCTATGCTTGACTGGGCCTTTATCGGCTTGTACAATGGAGACATCATGGCCTTTGATCTGGACAGAGGAAGCCTGGCCCGTTCCTTCAGACTTCCCAACTTCTGGAAAGAGAAGAACCCTGGTGCGACCACTCCGAATCTCATAACCATGTCTCTTCACCCCCGAGACGTCGGTAAGCTCCTATTGGGTTACACCCATGGCGCTGTCGTCTACTCGTTCAAACAAGCCAAACCTGTCAACTACTATGAGTATGTTGTTCCAGCAGGCGCTCCCGGTGGCAACGGTGCAGCTGTTGAGACGGTTCGAAAGCCTCGACTTACACATGCACTCTGGCACCCCTCTGGTACATTCATCTTGACAGCTCATGATGATGGAAGCTTGGTGTTCTGGGATCCAAAGGCCGAAAAGATTGTCATGGCGAGAACCCTGACCGACTTCAACGTCGACCAGCCCTCGCCTGAGACTCCCACACCTGCTTTACCTGAGCCCATCACTAAGATCGCTTGGTGTTGCAAAGAGAATTGCGACGATAGTGGCCTTCTCATTGCAGGCGGACAACGCCCTGACGCATCGCAAAAGGGCTTGACATTCATTGACTTGAGCCAGACGCCGGTTTATGCGACCTCGACCTGGCAAATATTGGCTAATTACTGCAGGGGGAAACGCCAGAATGTTCTTCCTCTTCCTTCTGGTGCGCAAGCGATTAACTTCCTCCTCGTTCCACGGTTTTCTCCTCACTTTGCTGGCGCTCAAGACCCAATCGCTGTCATGGTTCTCCTCTCGTCTGGTGAACTTATCACGCTGAGTTTCCCCTCGGGCTATCCGATCAGTCCTACCAACCAGCTCCATCCCTCCGTTTCTTTTGTTCATCCATTTGTGACAAAGGTCAACGTGTCATCTCTCGAACGTCCACGCTGGCTCTCCATGTTCGAGAAGCGCAATCAAGGCGAGCCGCTGCTTAAAGGAGGAGCCGAGGCGTCGCGACCTCGGAAAAGGTTCGAAGAGAGAACCATAATCCAGGCCGCTCATGCCGATAGTACAATCAGGATCTGGGACTCGGGCCATGCTGATGAAATTGAAAATGGAACCCAGCTTCAAGTCGATGTTGCTCGAGCACTGGACCGATACGATGATGTAGAGATTACCTGTATGAACATGGCGACTAGCACCGGAGAATTCGTCGTAGGAACACGCACGGGAGAGGCCATCATTTATCGATGGGGTCAGAATCGCTTTTTCGGCAAAGATAAAGCTCTCCAGCTTGACCCTAATCCCAAAGGCCTCACGGACATTAGCTCGAGAGCAGAACCAGGCCTCAAGGAGGGCCTGCAGCCTCTCGTTCTCTACGAGATGATGATGGGCCCTATCACAGCTATACAGGTGTCCAATGTTGGATTCGTAGCCGTAGGCTCTGAACTGGGGTTTCTTACGCTGATTGATCTTCGCGGGCCTGCTATCTTCTTCCAGGCTCCCATGACGGATTTCGCCAAACCAGACAAGCGATCTTCGTTCCTCAAGAGCCATAGTTCTTCGCCGGGTCCCCAGAAAGAGTGGCCTATTGTAATTGAGTTTGGTGTCATGACCTTGGACGAGGACAAATACTCAAGCATTTGCTGTTTTGTGGGAACAAACCTAGGCAAAGTCATCACCTTTAAACTTCTGCCTGGCCAAGACGGCACATACTCTGCATCGCTCGCAGGCGTTGTATCGTTCGATGGGAAGATCATTTCACTCAACCCCATCGAAGCTGATACGGGCAAGCCTGCCCATGCCACCGGGCCGATCGTGGCAGGGCTCAGAGAAGGACGTCAGGTCAATGGCGTACTTGTTGCTGGTAAGTGGCGCATGGCTTCGGCTCAAACTAGCCTAACTAACAAGGACGATAGTCACGCAAACAGAAATCCGAATCTTCAAACCAGCCAACTCTAAAGGCGCATCAAAAGAGTTCGATAGCATCCTCTGTGATTCTGCATGTGTAGCCGAGCTCGAGTTACAGGGATTTGCCGTCGTTGGTGTGTTTGGTGACCGAACTGCTCGTGCATTCTCAATTCCTGGTCTCAGAGACATCGGAAAGGCCGACCTTCCCATGATAGATGTGACGAGGAGTACAAACTCAGTTGTTACTCAGACTGGCGACGTCTTTGCTTGGACAGGGCCAAGTGAACTTGCCGTGATCCACGTCTGGGGAACGGGCAAAGGACCTCAACAATCTCCAGACACGCTGATAAACCCCAAGCTTGAGTGCCCACCTCGGCCGACCATTTCAAACATGCAGTGGATCTCGGGCAGCCAATACATCTCCCCTACTGATCTTGATCTGCTGGTCGGAGGCCCAGATAGGCCTCCCAGCAAGCGAATGATGGACGCAGCGGCTGCAGAACAACGGGCTGCTCGGGCTGGAGAGCCAGCCGCCGCATCGGGTTCGGGCAGCCAGGAAGGTTGGGGAGACTACCTGACGAGGCAATTGAACGAAAGGACTGAGAAGTTGAAC